AAAAGCGAGGTGTGCGTAGATCGTAGATTCATTCCTTGCCTAAGTTGTGCAATTCCTAGATGTTTTTTGAAGTTTAAACAGGATGCTGTGTACATGATATTCTTTGAAATTAATTGTTGTTATGTTAATTTATTAAAGTGAGGTGTGCGTAGTTCATAGATTTGTTTGTTGCCTAAATTGTGCAATTTGTAGATGTTTTTTTTAAGTTTAAACAGGATGCTGTGTACATGGTATTCTTTGAAATTTATTGTTATGTTAATTTATTAAAGCGAAGTGGCATAGTTCGTAGCTTCCGTTCGCTTGCCGAGATTGTGCAATTCGCAGATGTTTTCTAAAGTTTGAAAGATATCGATGTGTACATGGATTCTTGTCAAATATTTTTGGTTAGAAACTTTACGTTTTTGCTATCTAAATTTTTTGTTTTTGTTTCGGATTTTTAGCTTAAATCGTGTGTTCAAAATGTAGTTTTTGCATGTGCGAAAACCACGTTTTGGGGGCATTTTAGGCTTAAAGTTTGAAATATAGACAAAAAAAGTTAGATAGTAATATGGCAGCATGAATGGCGACTTGAGGGCACATATCAGAGTAGTTCCAAATCTTTTTCTTAACTTGCTTATCTTCCCTTTATTTTCTTTACTTTTCACTTGACACAAGTATGGAAAATATTAAAAATGCTTCTAATCTTATCACATGGACAGGCATTATAGAAAGGATTTTTTTATTAATAAAGATATTGAAAACTGGCAATTTAAAAGATTCATCTAATATGTCTTAATGCATCATACACAGGTCTGACGCTAGGCATTTTCCCATCTAGTGCAATCACGTGGAATATTGAACTTATCTCTGTAGATCCTAAATTTTGCTGACTAGTGCCTTTCTAAATTCTGCTTCCAGTGCATGCTCTAAATTCTAAAAGTGTTGCCATTTCTACATTTTGTTGCTCGGTGTGTCACTAAATTCTAAAATTCTGCCACGCCAGCTCTGTAACTGGTCCTTATCCTATATATTTCATATTTCTCCTGAATGTTCATATTACTAAAGAAATAAAATTAGAAGCTTTTTCTATACATTCTAAATGCATTTAGTTTTTTTAGAATAACATAAATCTTTAATAAAATCCAAAAATTCTAAAATGAAAAGGAAGCGTGTTGAAGAAAAAAACCGAATACATACAGAGAAAGAAAATTATTCTTCAAATATATATACAGGTATTATTATGTAAATTACTCAGTTGTTTATAATTTCAGCCGTTACTATAATTTCCTGTTTCTATTTCCTCCCCAGAATGCAAATCACTTAGGCAGTTTTTAAACTGCCTAAGTTATGGTTTGAAGTTTTTGGTGTGTAAGACAGAACGTGTTTTTAATCTCCACTTGCTCGCTGCATTAGTTCCTGCCAGCTCTGATAATTTGTAACTTTTTGTCTTTGCATTATCGCTGCTGACATTCGAATTTGTTATGATGATAGAGTTACTGAGCCAGCTTAAATTTAAGTTAAATTGTATAGTCTTTGACCACTAGTCCACATTTTTTTTGTTTGAATTTGATTGTTCTTGTTTAATTACATCACCACAAACTGCAATTAAATTGGTTAGCATAAGAACATGCCTTTAAGTTTTTTGTAAATAAGAGGCTTATTTTAACCTTTGTCTGACTTTGTAGTTACTTTGAGACATAATGATAACTTGCTTCACGTCTGTCGGGAGTTTTTGGACTATTTAACTTTTAGCAGATCAATTAAACCCTCATAGGTACATTGTGGAGAGGTTGACAAGTTAGGAGATAAAGCACGCAGAAATTAGTGAGAACATTGGTTTGTGTATTCAAACAGATTTTTAATTGTTAGGAAAGATGTTTAAAGAGCAGTAAAATGATATAAATTAAGCCAAAATGTCTGGGAAGGCTTCAAATTAAAAAGATGCATAAATATTTTGTTGAGGTTATTGCTACAAAACATATTAAGAATCAATGACATGAATTGCATGTATTTTAAAGTGTGAAATTTTATTAGATTGTGATTTTAATAGGGACTTTTAACAATATTGTTAAAAAATAAGTAAAATTTAATAGTGGTCATGCAAATCTATAATGGTAAGGTTATCTAGCTACCTAATTTAATTTATAACTAACTGCTTACCCTTAAAAATTATCTCTGCATAATAAAGTGAGTTATTGCCTTTCATTATTCCTTAGCATGGTACAAGGTAAAACACAAAAATGTAAAAATTCATGTAAAACTTATTCTTAGTATCTAGTGAGACCTAAAGTAATACAAAGCAACTTAGTGTCACCTCCGGTGCTTTAGTGGCTTATTGGAACCTTAAAGTATATTAACTGGGTTACAACTCCTGGAACTCTACATGGAGCTATGACACTAACTGCAACAGACAGAGCCCAACTAACTTTCAAAACTAGTTAAACGTGCCCACATCAGGCCTTTCAGTTTTCTTCTGATCAGCAGGTCTCCTCTAGGTAAAGAGCAGTGGTGACAACAGCCAGTGATTCTGATTATGATTTTACTTCTCATTTTAACCTATGATGCTTGATATAAAATCTATCTGCTATTTAGTAAACCTCTAGATTGAGCAAGTAATGAGACATAAAAAAAAAATCAACATGAAACTAACGATTAGTAAAACATAAATAAAATGTCATGTATCTTCTTTCAAATATACCGAACTATTGTAAGTGTAAAATATTTAATGCTGTTTGATAAATTTCATAAAGTATCTTTCATGCTCAAACTTATTAATAATTATGTTAAATAAGTTATGTTTAATAATAATGCATCCTACTTACAGATCTATTTTGTTTTTTGGGTGGTATTACAAAAGTGAAGTTCAAGCATAGATAATATTTTAATTGAATTTATTAATTTGCTATTTGCTCATAGGTCCTTAATTTTTTTCAGTAATGGTCCTTAAAAGTACTTAATTTCCATGTGCAGAAATGTGTACGAACCCTGTATGTAATAACAGTAATAATGAACATGTTTATTGCACACAGTGTACTATAGAATATTCTGTTACACATAAAGGAAAGGGTGATATTGAAGATCATGTGAAAACAGCTAAACATAGGAGGAGTGCTATTAATGCTACTACTTTAGCAAACATAAGAGATTTTTTTAAAGCCAAAAGATAGTAATAACAATAACAATGATCTTGAGTGTGCTGCTAAAGAAGCTTCATTTTCATACCACACTGCTAGACAAGAACTCAGTTTCAAAACATCAGACTGCACATCTAAACTGGTTAAAATGTTATATGACCCAAAGTGAAGTGATGAAGTGTCAGGTGAAACTGCTCAAATTTTGACTCAGTATCTTTTGCAGTGCTTGAAAAAATATAAACTTCAAGAAAAGTTAGTTTGTTATACTGCCGAGGTAAAAGTATATTTAAGGGTACCCCTTGGCAAAACTTGGTGATTTTTGGTGGTACATGGACACCGAATTTGTGCAAGTCTTTGACTTATTATTTTAGCTTGTGTAGTGGCAATTTTGGACTTTTTGTGCCAAAAATCCCAGCTACACAAAGCTAAAATAACAAGACAAAGAATTGCACAAACTCGGTATCCATGTACACATCGACCTATTTTCACTTTAAAAAAAATCATCCCCGATTTGCACAAAAAAAAAGGCATTGTTTTGATTATTACAACTAGGCTTTGCACACTTTCTTGAGTTTGTCCATGTACACATTGATATTTTTTCACTTAAAAAGTTAAATGAACACCCAATTCTACAGTAAAGGCAAATAAAAAAATACGTAATCTCGATAAACTACATTTTAAACCAAACAATAAAATAACATAAAAAAAGGAAAAACCTGTAATGCATTTAAGTATTACACAAAGCAAATATCCACTTACCTCTGTGGTACACAAAATTCCATAACAGCATCCTAAAACTTCCTAAAATTATCTGAACTAGAATCCGTATATCGGCATCGCCACATAAATTCACAAGAATAAAAATAAAAAATATCCTACGTATTCCGGACTGTCTCAAAAGTGGCTACTAAATAAACCTTCATTTACACACCAGTCAATTAATGTTCCAAATTGTATCCCTTTCGTTCCAAATCGTACAGACTTCAAATTACTCTTATTCCATTCTGCCATCTAAACAATGAAACAAGCAATGTATTTCCTAACCACACACGCCACAAATGCCCTTACAAAACATCCCATGATTCAAAATTTCCCGGAATAATGCAAATGATTACGTCATAATAGGGTTTCCATAACATTCAACTACTCAAGTTTCCATAAGTGAAACAACAACTTGGCAATAAATGCAACAACAACTTGGCAATAAATAAAACAACTTCACGATAATACAAGGGGTACCCTAAAGTCAACTGTAACCTACTGCCGATAACACTAACAGCAATTTTGGTGGTGTGAAGAGAAAGGGAAATGAAAATGTATTCAGAAAAGTTCAAAATAATTTAGATAAAACTTATTTTAGGAATTGGTAGTCCAGCCTACATTGTACATAATTCAGTATAAACAGCATGTGATTCTCTACCCCTGAACATATAAGTTATTGTTATAAAAATTTACAAATATTTTCACATATATACAGAACGAGTAATGAAACTGAAAGAGTTCTGTGAATTTGTGGAAACAGATTACAAAAAAGTATTATTTCATAGCAGCACAAGTTTTCTTAGTTTGTTACCTGCAATAGATAGAATTCTTTCCATTTTTGATGGCCTAAAATCATACATTCTATATTGTAACAAATGCCCGAAATTATTATTTGATTTTTTTTTAATCTTTAATTTTTTTAATATAAAGAACCTCTGCATACATGCTGTGCTATATTTTCATATTAATGATTACTTAAAAATATGCTACTGATAATTATTAGTAAGTTGTGAATTTCTTAAAATAAACATAAGGTTATACATTGTAGTTTGTTATATGTGTATTTTTAAATTATGCACTAAGTCTATTGCATATAAAAATAATTTTGTTACTTTTTTTATGCAGGGTTCTTAGTCATACTGAGGACATAACATGTGTTGAATGGGATATTAGTGCTACTAAATTATTAATAGCAGATGCAGTGGGATGCATTCAGATATGGTCAATGAAAGTAGGTATATAGTTCATCTTTTAAAACAATTGTGTGTATTGTTGTTGTGATGTTGCTTTTAATAAAAAAATAAATAAAAGGTTTTGTAATTTTAGACTCACTTTTCTTTCTGTTATTTTATCATATATAATTTCTGTAGATTGTATATTGCTCTGCAGTTTTAAAGTAGACCTTAAAAATCAAAGTTCTCTTAAATGTGGGTTCTTGCTGAAATCATTTTTATGTGTAGTTTCAACATTGCAAATGTTTTGATTTTAGAAAATATAACTTCAAGTTCTTTATTATCAGAAATAAAGATTTGCTATTTTGTTAATTTAGTAATTTAAAAAAAAATTCAGGTATTTTTCCTTATTTGAAAGCTTTTTTTTTAAGTTTGAATTATTCACATGTGCATCTTGCGGATCCTATCAATTGTAAGTTTTTCTTCTTCCCCCTCCCCCCCAAGTAATACAGTTCTCATTTGTAACTTTTAGCAAAGTTGTTTTTCTTGATATATATCATATTTAGCTATGCAATTCTCAAGCTTCATTTTTCACAGTTTAATATATTTATAGCCGGCCTGACATTATCTGTCATTAAAGGTTTATTACATAATTCATGCTGCTTTTCAATGACATTTTTCATTCCTTTAGTAAATTTATCAATTGCACTAAGTGAATTTGAAATTTATTAATTGCATGAAATAAGTGGAAATTGTTGAAGAAATATATCTGCATTAATTTTTATTTTCGTGGTTTTTATTTCTATACTGGAAAAGAAATTTTAGCTATGCTATTTTGTAATACATATTACTAGATAAAATATGCATATGTTAATATTAAAACAGTATGCAAAAAAAAAAAAAAAAATGTAGGTATTGAAAAGTTTATTTTAAAAGAAATTGATGTTATTTTACCTGTTTTTACATTTGTTTTAGGATTTCCTCTTAAATGATTGGATGCAAGTTACAAGTACAACATACGATGGGGAATATATTCTTGCTGCTGCTTGGTTCCATAATGGAAAAAAAGTAATGCATTGTTTTAGTTGAAAGATTAATAATTTGCATGATATTTTAAACTATTTTAAATAAAAAAAAAACATGTTTATTAATAAATGGAAATTTTTAAAAATTACGTAAATTAGAAAAGCAAAAATGTCTTTTATAATAATATAACATCTTAATTGTAAACTATAGAATTCAAGGCATAATATTATTAATATATATATTAGAGTTGAAACAAAATGTATTTTATCGCATTGATTATACATTGGTTCCAAAAGTTAAGGATTCAAGGCAAATTAATAATTTTCAAATTGATATTTCATAGTTGAAATTGAGTGGTAAAAATTCACTGCAGGTGCAGATATTGTATGTTACATTCAATTACAATTGATTCTCTGAACATATGCTAATTTAGACAGTAATCGAAGACACCAGCATTCTGATATGTTGGAGGTAGTTCATTTAATTACTGATATGTAGTGTTCATAATATTTGTAGGATGACTTTGGATGATATTCATGTTTCTATTGTTGAAAGAAGACAGATGACAGATTGTGACAGATGACAGATTGTTGAAAGAAGACAGTGCTGGCATGTAGTTGGGCACATTGAAAAGAATGCTCAGAAAGTTGTGGCCCTTTTCTTTGGCATTGATCATTCAACAATTTCCCGAATGTGAAGACAGTTCAAAACAAGTCAAGCAGTTGTCCATAGACTTGTTTCTGGTCGATCAAGTGTTACCATCTCTTCTGAGGATTGATATATTCCTATAGTAAGCAAGTAGTAAGCAAGTTGAATCGATGAGTGACCTCCATAAATTCTACAGCAATGGTTGCAGCATCACTTGGTAAGATAATATCTACAAGTATTGTGATCCGAAGGCTTTGAAGACTTTACATGAAGGGACTGTATGCAGGAGTACCAAGTCCTTTTGTTACACTGCACTCTCATTCTAAAGGAGCAATGCTGAAGTATTGTTGTCATCATCTCAGGTGAATTGTCTCAGATAGGCACAATATCCTAGTCATGGTTGAGTCCAGATTTACCTTAGATGATAAGCGTGTTATCTGGAGAGAACGAGACACACGGAATCCGGCTCAGAATAGTATTGAACATCACACATATGCTAATTAGGCAGTGCAGAGGCATTGTAGTAAGGGGCTGAAATTTCAATGAGATATTACACCCAGCTTCACATCTTTAAAGACGATTATGTGATAGTTGTACAGAATGAGGTAAGTTTTACATTCCATTGGGAGATTCAGCTGCAACAGTTGGTCCTGATTTCCTGATTGTAATGCTTATGTCATCAAGTGTAATGCCTCAATGTCATTGAGATAACATTTTTAACAAGTGCATGGAAATGACGAAATTTCTTGTATGGAGTGGCCACCATATCCCCCTGGCTATTAACAATTTCTGGGATGCTTCAGAAATGCTTTCTCTGTGCATTTACCTTCTTCAGCTAAGACAGTTGGAAACTGTTTTGATATAGGAAGAGTCACTGTGATCATCTGCAATTGTATCACCTCACTGAAAGTTTCACTGTAAAGTTTGTGTGAAGGTCTGGGGTAGTCATATAACTTATTAATGCAAGTTTTGTGTGTTTGTTTTTAGCTTCATTATTAAACATAGGTTTGTTAAAAGGAGCAAATATGTTGTCATCTTACAATTTACTAAAATTGAATATTGTTTTTATCTTTGTACAATGCTTATATTTGTTTAAGTATAAAACATCTGCATTCATGTACAATTTGGTACACTGCATCTATAATTAAAGCTTTATATTCCATTTTTGGTAATTTTACTGTTGCTTGCTTAACTTTTGGAAACCAGTGTATTACTGAAACTGATATTGAATAGCACCTGAACTAGACCTATAAAATATATAGGCTTACCTTATTTGAATGTTGCTGCTGTTTTCTTCGGAATAGTCCTTTGGGAACATATACCCCTTGATCAGTCGCAGAAAATAGGATTGCTGCCATGGACAATAGAAATAATGTAATAATGTAAGAAATAAGATCATTTTGTATATGCTATTACTTAACAAAAATATAATTTTGTGTTTAATATTTATTATAGTTATCTGCATACAATATTGGACATTATTATAGAATTAACCCATTGCATCATTTATGACGAATTAAAATTTAAAAAAATTTCTTTAAAATGGTAATCAAAGTAATGAAAGAAACACATTTAGTGTTTTTGAAGAGCTTTTACATCTTTTCTCAAATCAATTATAAAACATCTTTGGTGCCTGCCATTATTGGGAAGGGGAACTGGAGGTATGTCTATAATCTAGCATAAATTATAGTGGTCTGCTAAAATAAAAACTACTTTGTCTACTTAAAAAAAAAAAAAAAAAAAAAAAAAAAAAAAAATCAGGAGGCTGATTTGCACACAAAGTCATGTTGACTTTCTTGTGAGACTATAATGAACCATTCTTATGTTACATACAGAGATTCTTTTGCTTTGTGAGTTGTGCCATGTAACTGAAATTCTGAAGGAAAATCTGAAGTTAATTTTATAGACTAGCTGCAAACTAACTGTTAGAATAGATCCGCAGATGTGTTTTTCCTCCCTGATAACACATGATCAGATACAGTATCCACTACTGAGAAACTGAAATGTGAGTAAATTTCATACAATTTATATACACATACATTCAACATCATATTTCATTCACACATACATTCAACATCATATTTCTATATCTTTGTTTCACTGAAAATTTTTTGGAATAGATTAAAATTCTAGGGCACTATGAGTTTCATTTGGTTTCACTACTGAGAAACTGAAATGTGAGTAAATTTCATACAATTTATATACACATACATTCAACATCATATTTCATTCACACATACATTCAACATCATATTTCATTCACACATACATTCAACATCATATTTCTATATCTTTGTTTCACTGAAAATTTTTTGGAATAGATTAAAATTCTAGGGCACTATGAGTTTCATTTGGTAATGCATAAATGGCTGCACACCTATTCAAAAGATTCCTTTCTAATGGTATCGACAGGCTTGTCAAGTATGGATATATGCATAGATTTTGAAGAGGATGCTGAAAAGTGATAAATAATTATTTCACTGTTTGCAATAAATACTCTATAAATAGAAAAATTCTGATTTTCTGTTGCATATATTTTGTAAGTTTTACTTTGTGTAACATTTTTTACAGTTCTTCTCCCCCTTTTTTTTTTACTTTTGTAAGTAAACATTGTAAGGATTTTTTCATTATGAGGTTGATCATATAATGACTTTTTTTTTTTTTCCTTTTGATTCAAAAGAAATTAATTCTTTATTTAACATTTATTATTACCATTTTCATACATATTATTTATATATATGGTGAATTTCCTGTACAGTGTATTGGCACATTGATATGGTTAGTGTGAAGTATTTGTTTATATTATTTAATGATACTAATTATTTTAACTTGCATATATTTTTTGTCTCATAGATTGCCTTAAATATGGAGAAGAAGGATAATCCTTTGTATTTAGAAAAATATTCATTTATACGCTTTGGACCATCTGTAAAACAGTTTGGTGGGAAGCCTAGTGAAGGTGTTATTGCAATTACTACAGCGGGAATGGTATGACTTGTTATTTGTATATAATACTCCTTTTTTATTTTCTAATAAATACAGTTTAAAAGTTTTTATTTTCTGACATCTTCTTTTCATTTTGTGGAAAATTGATATATACAATGAAATTGTTAATTTTTATTTACACTTCTGTGTATTGTAGGTTTTTGTGTTGATTTTACAATCAGATGGAAGTATAATTACTGGTGCTGAAGTGCTAGGCCAATTCAGGAATAAAATTAAAGTTGTTGATCTATGTTATGCAAAGAGTAAGTTCAAAAATTGATTTTTAAAACCATTATTTATTTTTCCACACAGGCACTATTATAAAAATTTTGCTTTGAAATAGGAGTTAGTGGAGCAATAAATGAAATGCACCACTGAGATGCTTTATAAGTTAAGCATCAAAATTAGCAGCTCTTCTTTTTTTTCCGGTGGGTTAGTCATTCATATAAATTTAGAAATCAAACAACAAAAATCAGCTTTATATTTGAAAATATTTGTTCGGTGAGTGAAGCTCACTAGGCCAATTTGTTTAGCGTGTTATTTTATCTTAATTAGTCATTCATAGTTTGCCAAATATTTATCAATGATGAAGTGACTAAAGCTACAAAATAATGCTCATTGTATAAGTGTAAAAGTAGTATGCCAACTTTAAATTGGGGCAAAATTTAGACTTTAATTTTGCATTTACAGAAAAGCTAAGTTTGAGTATAGAAATAAAAGTAGTGCAATGTTTTTACTTCTTGATGAAAAAAGAATTTGAATCTCATTTCTTTGAAATGTCTTGAGCTTTTTCCGAAAATTAACACGTAACTAAGTTTGAATCTTGTCTAATTTTACAGCGATAATTTGTTCCAAGCCTGATACCTGCATAGGTGAAGGAGAGTATTTTTTTAAAAGAGCATGAGCCAATTTTCCTTAGAAAATCCTTTGTTAAGACATCTTATTTCCCCAAGCTTCATTATTAAGCTAATTATGATAAAATATTTATAGGGTCACTTTTGTAATAATTCATCAACTTCCATACTGAATTCCATTATAAAGTTCTTTCAAAACATACCCTTCTTTAACCCTTTGACACACGCGATAATATTTTTATAATTTTTTTAACTGAAAACTGTAGAGATTGAATATTATGACTGTAGAGGCAAAGAATAAATGTCTTTAAAAAAATCTACTCTTGTCCATTGTTCTGTGGGTGGTGGTCGTACTGTGAAACCACCGCGCGTCTAGGACTTTGAAACTTTCTGAGGTAGTAGGGGGGAAAAAAACTTACCTTTCTCCGTGCGCGTTTCCAATAAATGACGAAACTTATGAATTTTTAAAAAATGTATGTAAGAATTGCATTATATGTAATTTTTTTACATTATTTTACAAAAGCATCAGAAAAAATTAAAAAATAAACATTTATGTAATTTTTCTGTAGCAGTGGAAATATAAATACCTACATAATAAGGACGTTTGGCTAAATGGATAAAAAAAATCAGTAAAATAAGGGTTTTTTTTTTTTTATTTTTTTTATTTATTTCAAGTAAAAAAATTTTTTTACATTGTTCAAAGCATGTTTTGTCTTTTGGTACCTGCATAGACCCAAATTGCACGTTTCTTACATGTATATTCTATGAGATTTCTTCCTTGTGCTGCAAAATGTACACTGCCTGGATCTAAATTTCACTAGTATATGTCCAGCGTTATTTAGTTTCTTTTCATCTGGCACATGAAATTTGTGGTTTTTTATGTTAATGAGGGGGGCTTGGTCTTTTTGGCTTTGGTATGGATCATTCGTTTCCCATTCATACTTATTTTATTCGTATTTCGTCCTAAAATATTCAGAAAATATTTTTAATTTAAATAAAACTTTAAGCGATTTCTATTTTTAATTATAGCAAAGTATATTTACATTAAATTTAAACCAAGGAAATAATTTATAAAATCACAATACTAGCTTGGGGAGGAAGCAAGCATGTTGAGGTCACAGAAAAAGTCTCTGGAAGAGTAAGACCTTTTTACTGGGCACGTGTATGTATTGTTTAGTAATAAAATAACTCTGTGGTTTCAAAACCCCTTATCTATATCCGGGTAAAAATAAACGTTCCTATTTGCGAAGCAAGCAAATGCCATTGTGAAGAGCAGTGGTTTCAAGGCTCTACCACCGAGCCTCTAAAGCCTTGTGAACATTATGACACAATGTTCTAGTAGGGCAGTGGTCGCGCTCTGAAACCACAAAGCAGATTTCATACATATAGAGGGTTTTTTTATATATATACAGTTTAATTATTGCTATTTTTTATTGTTTATGCTATAAATCATGATGTGTGATGAATAACTTTTGAAACTTAAAGGTTTTTACATTAATAAAAGGAAGTTATTTTGTCTCATTGAAAAAGAATTTTAAAAGGCATCCGATTTGAAGTACTAAGACCTAAAACATGTATGATTCTGCAATCATTCTGTGTTATTTAGAGGTAAAAGATCAGTAATCAATTGATTTTTCATTTAAAAATATCGGAAAAAAGAGGAGAAAAAATTCGAAAATTGATGGTTTCAGGGTGTGACCACCGTGTGTCAAAGGGTTAAGTCATATATTGGTGTAATTAATTGATCAACCCTCAAGTTAAATTTTCATGTATAATGTTTAATTTTCTGTATTAATTATGTGGGTATATTTGAATTTTTTCCTCCCTGTATAGGCGGGGATTTTTTAGTTATAGCCACTGATGGACTTGTGCAGTCATCTGTGCATTGTTACAGAGTTGGTTTAAAAGTTAATCAAGGTAATAATTTTTTATATTTGTTAATTTTTTTGTATGTTTATCATCTTTGAATGATAGTTCAGAATTTAACTGAGTATGATATTTTTCTGATTTAACTTTAGAATAAATATACAATCAATGTGGAATTTTCAAAATTTCATTAATTTTCTTTTAATTTTAGATTAAAGTTTGATGGTTATTAAAACAGGTGATCAGTTATGATGATAATAAAATGATATTTGAAACACAGAAAGAGTGCTTAGGAGTGGAAATTAAGTGTATATTTGATATAAAACATGAGCTATATTCTTGAGTCTTGAAGGTATATTCCCAATCAGCACGTTTTTCAAAACTGATTTGTAAATTTCCTTCGTGGTGCACTTATTCAAATGTAGAAAGTTTGTTTTTCAAGTCTGGATTTATGTTGTGGTTCTTTTCTTTTTATGGTGGTTCTTTTGATATTGAATAATCCTGTAGTCATCTTGTTAGTTTCTTGTTGATGAGATAGTGCTGAAGTAGCAGTTATTGTTGAAGTAGCAGTCAAGAGTTATGTGCTGAAGTAGCAGTTGTGGTAACCTGTTTATTTAATCTCATGTGTAAGTATGCAATGATGTTATTGTAAATAAGTGTGAAGAAGGAATTTCGGTCAAAAAATTTTTCCTGCAAGATTTCATTGCCTCTATATTTTTTTTTAAAGAAAAAAGAATTAATAACATTTTGCTTTTTTCCTAAGCTAATTGTTTTTCTTTGTTTTTTTCATTACAATGATTTTATGTTTTTCCCAATTTTTTACAACAAAAGCTGAATGTAATAAAACTTTAAGGGTACCTATATTAAGCACATTTTTCATGTTTCCTGTTTTAAAAAAAAACCTAATGACTCTATAGTGGTACATGAACAAAAAGATGGTAGATGATAATTCATCACCACCAGGATTTGGTGATTGGGTCCCCTCATCCCCATTCACTCTTTAAAAGGGGGAAGGTATTTTTTCCTTTCTTTCAGCATGCCTTCTTGATTTAACGGTAGCATACTCAGCATGCATTCGAGAGGTCCAAGTTCGAATCCCGTTGAGGAAATTGCACATTTTTTCATGTCTCCTACTTCAAAATAACCAAATGATTCTACAGAGGAACCCCACTATACATTAGTTACGGTTTCAGTTTAAAATGACTCATATCTAAGAAAGATTTTTTCCATCATTCCAGTATGCCTTCATGGTGTAATGGTAACACTCTCAGTGTGTATTAGAGAGGTCCAGGTTCGATCCCGGTGAGGACACTTCACATGTTTCACGTTTGATGCTTCAAAAAACCCTAATGACTTTACAAAGCTGTTGATTTTGAGAGCAATCGGACACAGGTCCCTCTTCTTAAAAACAAAAAAAAAAAAAAAAAAAAAAAAAAATGTGTGCGTTTTAAGGTTGTTGTTTTGCCTAACTCTAAATTTTTCATTGGTATGTTTCTTTTCTACTTGCAGTTGACTTCTTTCATTAGTATGTTAGTTTTCAGTTTGACCTGATTAATTGCTGACTTAAAATAGAAGATAGAATTTCTGTAAACTGTATATTATGAACAATAACTATACACTTCATATTCAAGTCAAATGAAGATTTCCTGCAGATTATTACTGGTAAAATTTCTTAAAGCACAATCTATGTCTCAATAAAGATTTCTTCTCCATTTTGAGAGTGTTAAAATTGTAAATTTCTCATTTTAATGAGTAATTGTTCCCTAATTAAAATAGCTTTTGTTTGAAGAATTTTTTGTTGGGGTAGGGTTGCAGTTAGTCCATACTTCATTTTTTTAATTCCTAAAAAAAAAATTCCTTTCTTTTTATTAGTATAAATTCTTCTGTCAGCATCTGTTGGATTAATGTTTTACCTTGTTTTTCTAGATGAATGTATAATAAGTTGCCAACCTTTTTCAAGTTTTTATTTGAATTGCCATTCTAGTTGCTTATCTGGAGAAAAACAATGTAAGTTATTTTAAAACTTACCTCTATACTTTTTCAGTTATGTATCATTAAGAATATATTAATAGTATGATAATATTTATTTCCTGTTGCATAATTTTTTCCTTCTTTCTTCTTAAGCTTATGTAAAAGTCACTCATTTGAAGTTCATTTTACGGGAAGCAGCTGATGCTGTTGTTATCACTGCTTCTGGTAAGTTTATTATCAAATTCTTGTGTCTTTTTTATCATAAATTATTTTATTTATGAAGTATCTGATGTTTCTCATTGTTGCATAAATATATTAAAGAAAACTTTGTTTTGGAAATTTAAATTGAACTTAAAACAGAAATCAGTTTTGTTTAATTATAAATAAAATTATTCAGAAAAGAGAATTTTTGTATATGGTTTAATAATTTAAAATATCCGAAAGTTTAATTTCTCTTTCTACTGCTTAAGTAGACTCTTTGCTCCCATTTGTTAAGCAAATGCTTTTTTTAAAATTTGCTGAGAATTTGAATTTATTTATACTTGTAAGCATGTGTATAATTGCAGTACAAATCAGAGAATAAAATTCGATAATAGCTAAAATTTTGTATAAAATTATCCATGTAGATACTTTCAGTATGTAAGTTTTATAATAGTAATGCTGAAGTATGATATTGAAATAATTTAAAATTCATATTTTATAATATATTTAAAAATTTTTTTTAAAGATATAGCCATTTATTTAAAAATTTCCTGATGTTTAGGTCCTAACGATAGCACTGTTGAACTCTGGGAACTGAGAGAGAAGCCTGTCATTTTCCACAAACTATTAAATACAGCATCATTAGAAGGCCAACCTAAAACAGTGGTAAAGTATCAAAAAGTGTTTGAGCATATAATGTTCTGAAAATCTTGGCAATAAAAAATTTCGTTTAGGTATTTGAAGCTTTTAATCATCTAGAAGAAAATTAATGTATATGAAACATCTTTTCTGTAGGTATGGCAACATCACACATCTTCTACTGCCTCTTCCGCTGTTGTGGCAGTGGCCACCCCTCGTTTATCAATATATGATGCTAATCCACCACCATCATACATATTAGTTGCTTATAAAGATAATGTTATAAAGTGTTTTTACAGGTAGCTATGTTTTTGTATTTCATTCTTTAATACTTTATTTTCTGTTAAAAAAAAAAAAAAAAAAAAAAAAATGAAGAAGAAGAAAATTTGCTAAGTTTATTTTAATATAATTTTAAATATCAAAATTTGCTATGTGATTTAAGGGATTATAAACTACTTATGTGTTCTTTCATTATTGAAAAAATATTATTGTTTTTTTGCCAGGCCATATCTATAGTCCTTATAACTTCTCGTTTATATTGAAGAATTATGGAGATCTGCAGAATTAATAAATATTTTGCTGCAGCTTATATTCCCACTAAAATGAGCCCTTATGTATTAATTGAGGCTAATTAAAATGAGATTCTGCCCATATTTTCTTTTCATTAGTGATGTGCAATTTATTTCTTCCATTTTCATAGAACAGAAATTTAATTTTGTAAAATTAGTTTTAAGGATTTTAATATGAAAAAAGTGTCATATTTCTGATTATTACAAATGTTAAGGGAGTTATTGGAAAATAATTATAAAGTAAGGTTTATAAATAGAGGGGGATAATGTTTCATTAATCTGAATTTTCTCTAAACATTTATGCTGATTATATACTTATATATTTATATTCTTTTTTATTTACTGGTGTATTATTATCCAGTGAATTCTCTTTTAGATGACCAGTCATAGTTCCAAACCATTTAGGTCTTTTGTAGCAGTGGTCATCTTAGAGAAGCCAGTTATATATTTGTGTAATGATGTTCTGTTCAAAGCTGTTGAAGGCCTTTTAAAATTATTGAAGTAGAAATGCAGTATATCAGTTTTTTAATAAATAAAATAACATTTGTTAATAAATTAGGTACAAAGAATGATGTATCAAAACAAAAAAAATCTTAGAAAATGACTTTTATTTTACCGTTTAATTTTCTCAACTAAATGTAAAATAAGAGTGACGTTTATTTATTAATGATTAATATTTCAAAGTAAGGAAAACAATTCTTATTTATAAAGAAAAAAGAGAGAGAGAGAGAAAAGAAAAAGAAGGGAAAACTTTGTATAAAATGTGTTGCATAAATTTCTAAAACAATTTCAACTTCATAAATAAATCAATAATGTAGCTGTAGTTATATTACAGCCATTTTTAATGTTTTTATCTTTATATTATGGTGAATTTTCATGGAAGAAATGATTTTGAATAGGAAGGAACTTTTTCACATCAGTGTATCAAAAATACATCACAAATATAATTTTGCTGTCTCTGACCTGAATGAGATTTTCATTTGAACAACAGCTTACTGATCATATAACTATTATGCTGATTAATAAGTAAATTTCATAATATGATTTTGAACTGTAGAAAAGAAAAAGAGCTGGAAAAGGATGGACATTAAAAAAAGTCTTTTTTAATAATAATAAAAAAAAAGGCCTGTGTGAATTTTTTAAATTAAGAAAGGGGGACTGGCATTTTTATATTCTTACCTGTACATATCTGCTACTGAAAGGAGGTTTGATTGTTTATTGCTTTCTCTATATGTGTCTTAGAAAATGTTCAGCATTAAATTATTAACCTAAGAGCTTTTTACAAAACATTTGTTATATTTCTGAATTTTATGAGATTTTTTTGTTGGATTGCACTCACACTTAAATATAATAACTACAAAAGTGATAAAAAATTCATTATTTTGTGAAATTTGTACAAAAAACTGAAAATTTTGGATTGAAATTAACAAAAACATCGATCATCACTGCCAAGAAAATAATGATGATGAAAACATATTTTTGATTTTATGTTATATATACTAACCATAAGCATACATTAAAGGAGGATAACTAAAAAATATTGTTTTACTAGTAGTATATGGCCAGATATGTTAGTTGACACTCAATAATTAAAAACAAATATGTATGCTATTGAAGGGAAAGTTATATAATTAAAATTCTATAAGGCTAATTTTTTAACTTTTTCATGCATAATAATGTACAAACTCTGTGCACAAAATTTAAAGTGATTCTGTTAAGAACCATTTGAGTTATCATGGTTGCTATGAGCATAAATCATAAAAAAAAAATTAATCAAAAACCACATGTAAAGTTTTCAGATTAACATTACATGCCATATATATAAGCACAAGTATTCATGTTGTCAAACAAAAATGAGACAATACATAGCAAAAGTACTTTGCCAGATTCTCCAGCCATACTGAAATATTTAAAATTGTTTAATTAAAAAATAACACAAAAAAGGGTGAAAACTGCATCTTTAATTTGCCTTTTAAACTTTGACTTCTGGTGTGGAAGACAGTAACTTCCACTTTGCCATCTGTCGGATAAACTGGTATATCACCACTTCTAATCAATATACCAAGAAAAGAAAAGTTGTTTTTAATAGTTAAGAATGTGGCCTTTAGAAGTATTAAATAATAATAATAATAATAATAATGGAGATTTTTAGCTGAAATCTCCTTAACAAATTTTCAATTTTTTTTAACAAAAGGAAATATTTTCTAAAAAAAAAAAAAAAACGAAGAGAAGCAAATTTCTTTTTTTCATTCAAAAATATATGTCTTCAGACATGTTATTTTAAGCTCATATTTGTGCCAAAATTGTTACAATTTATATTTTAATCTTTTCAAAATTTAATTCAAGTAACAGCATAATTAAAGTTTTTAATTGATAATTTAATATTTATTAAAATAATTAATTAGTAATATTTTTTCATTTTTTAGAGAATCTCTTCAGCTAGTTTGCAGTATTTGTGTAAATACAGGAACTCACAGAAGAGATGAGCATACTATGTATAGTCATCAGCAAGGTGTGTGTTTAAATAAAAGCTGCCATTTGGCATAAACAAATATTAATTATATACTGTACGAAGATTTGTATATATATTTTTAAAGTAATAAATGGGGATTTATTTTTAGGCTTAAAACAATACCTTCATGGAGCTTCTATAAGTGATATGCAGTTGACATGGACTGGATGTACATTAATTGCTATTGACTCTCTTTCACAATTATTTTTGTATCGTTTATCTCCCATTACTGATCCTGGTAAGAAAAAGATAAAAGTTGTTCCTTATTTTTACATTTTTGGCTGTGGAACTTTTCATGCCATATATCAGAAGCATATAAACTTTCATGCTATATATCACTTGCATTTAAAGATAGCGGTAGTAATGAATTTTCTGATACAAATCTGGAGGATTATATGCACCTACATGTGATAAATGTATGTTATATGTTTAAGATAACAATTTTAAATACCTTTTAAGTTTTATACTTGCAGTGACCGTACAAGAATTGCTTTGTAAATATAATCTAAATTATAAAGAAACTAGAGCTTACTTCGAACCCTTAGAGTATTTTGGCTAGATATTCCTTTAATTTCTTATTAATTGAGCATTTTTTATCTGCTGTAGAATTTTATATAGTAATGAGATTCATTTTGTTTGCTTAATGTATCAACTTGTATCAGGGGTGATTGTGATCCAGTATAGCCAGAATTCTGGATTTTTTACTTTCTCAAATCTATAATTTCCTGATTTGGAAAATGTAGACTTAACAATTCTGTAAAATTGTTTTTACAGAATCTTTTCACGTCTTTTTAAAATTTTGTTTTAAAACAAACATGTCATTCAATAATTATATGAATGTAACACTATATAAAATTCAGTAAGAGATCAAATGTGACATCATTGACATTGATTCGCGTCATGGACGCCAATAGTGATGGACGTGCGAGCTCTGAGCTCCGCAATGGAAATATGGAAACCCAGAATACGGCGCCGCCAGCAGGCAATCTCTCTAATTCTCAATCTCTACAAGTGCTCACGGACATGGACACTCATTCAACTCCTCCAGCTTCTCCTTCGGCTCTTGAACTATCCAAAAGCGCTCTTCAAATCTACGCACTAAAGACCAGGCATACCGACCTATTATTTGATATTCAACGTCTTCAGCGATCGGATACTCCGAACAAAGATTTGATGATGAAGCAACTTCAGGATGAGGGTGAGAAGATTTTATTTTCTTTACAACACTCTGCACCAAACTAAATATTAATCTTTTCACATTACCCGCAACTGAGGAAGAATTCATTAGAGAATTCCAAAAATCTACCATAACATCTGACCCTGAAGCCAAAAATCCTAAACCTAACTCACCCTCATCCTCTGATCTACCCAAAGAAAATTCTAAGCCTGACAATAAAAAGAGAACCAGACCTGTCGACAGTGACGGCTTTGCAGTCCCCCCCAAACACTTGATTGCAAAGAAATTACTCAACACCAATGATAAATCCAACAACATTCCAATCACAAATTCCTACACAAACATTCAAAACGTTAAAGAAAATACAGATAATATAGCGCAGCAGCCGGCAGAAAATACAACACCAAAAATTCAAACACCTCCACCTATTTTCATTAAACCGCGTGCTGATTGGTTCTTTTTACTGAATCAGTTACGCAGACACGCACCGACTGTCCAATCCAAACAAGACATAGAATTTCTACGCCTCAACACCACTAACGAATCAGATTACAGGACAGTCGTTAGATTTCTTACTGAAAACAACATTCAATTCAAATCACATACACTAAAATCGGACAGACCACTCAAAGTGGTCATTAGGGGATTACCCTCCAACACACCCATCAACGTTGTGCAGACTGCGGTGGAAGTGCTTGGCTACAAAATCCACAAGATCTCGCAACTTAAAAAATTCAAAACCAAGATGCCCATGCCTTTATTCTACCTGCAAATCCATAATAGCCTAAAAGCTCTGATATCTACTCTGTCACTGAACTCCTTGGAACAGAAGTGGCAATGGAACATTTCAAAGGCCAGAAAGGACCCTTGCAATGCTGGCGTTGCCAGGGATTCTTCCACTCTTCTGAAGTATGCACACTACCTCAACGTTGTGTAAGATGCGCTGGTCCGCATCAAGCTAAAGACTGCACCAAGCCCTTCGAAGAGCCGAATAAATGTGCCAACTGTTCCGAGAGCCATGCAGCCAACTGGAGATCCTGCCCGAGGTTTGCAGGATCAAAGAATCGACAGCCACCAAAACCAAGCACCAAGCCCAGTCAGACCGTTGACAACACTAACAAATTTAATCTACAACAAAACACATTCCCAACACTGCCGGCTGCACACATTCCCAGTGCAAATAATACTCGCCCTGGAGTTTCATACTCCGCTGCCCTTACGGGTATGCAACAGGCAACAGGCAGCACCACAAACTATTCCAAATTTATCGGTCCCCTTAGGAGCAAATTCGACACTAAATTGTACCGAAATTCTTTTGGCTATTATCCAAATTTCTAATCAGCCTGGTATTGACCAGAGCAAATTACTTCTGGCATTCAAAAACGCCTTACCGCATCTCAGAGTGGCTCCATCTGGTGCTGACGCGGCCTACTACATCTTTGAGAGTTATATTACTCTCCAATTCTCTGATTCCCACATTCATTAAAATTCAATACTTTGAAAAAGTTGAAAATCTTAAACTATGCACCTGGAATGCAAATGGCATTCTTTCCAAATTCCATGAGTTTAGAGACTATGTAGAAGAGAAGGATTTTGATATCATTTTTGTCCAAGAGACCAAACTCCAGCCAGGGAGAGTTCCCAAGCTTGTAGATTATGCACTATATAAAAATGACAGACAAGCTTCAAGTACACATGATGTTTATCATGGTGGCACTTGTATATACATAAAAAACTCTATCCCGCATCGTAGAATTCACACACCAAATATGAGCAAACTTGAAGCAACAATTATCGAAATTTTTATTCAAAATTCACCATCCCTAGTTATGATCTCTGCCTATCTCCCACCAGGTGGTAATTTTCTTGTGGTAGATTTTAATACACTGCTCAATTTTCAAATAATCTTATCATAGCTGGTGATTTAAATTGTCACCATCAGTATTGGCGTTGTCATAGATCCAACCCTGCTGGTCGTGGCCTTCTAAAATGGGCTCAGTGCGCCCAAATTAAAATTATTGCGCCGGATTCCCCCACCAGATATGGTTCACGGGGTGCCCCATCATTTATTGATTTAGCACTCTTTCGAAACATCCCTTTTGGATATCACGTGACTGTTGAAAATTGTTTATCTTCAGATCACAACCCCGTAATCATAGACCTTAACTGTACTATTTTTAATCAAAATTCTCCGGCACTCGTCTCTACAAACTGGGACAATTTTTGTTTTAAACTTAAAAATAAAAATTTACCCTCCCTCAAAATTAAATCCAGCCATGATATTGACTCGGCAGTTGATCACTTAACGGCCATTCTAACAGATACTTATAAGGAAGTATCAAAACCCACCCTTAGACCCAATTTTCGTAAATTACCTCAAGAAATTAAACTCAAAATTAAAGAAAAGAATAAAGTACGGAGACTTTGGCAAAGAAACAGGAATCCTGGATTAAAAATTCAACTCCGTACTCTCCAAAATGAGATCAAGGCATCATGTGACCAGTTCTTCCAATCACAGTACACGAATTACATTCAGTCCCTAACGACCAATGATAACAGTCTTTGGCGCGCATCAGCCCGCCTACGCAAACACAAATCTAACATTCCGTCCTTAGCTACGGACGCAGTGGTGGCTCACACAGACGCTGAGAAATCCGAATTAGGACAACCCCCTGAAGAAAACTAGTAGCCCACTGTCAGGAAAGACTTCTTAAACTACAGGAGACAACACATGTCAATGGGTCGCAATACAACATCAAGGAATGAAATGCAACAGACTAGCGATGCCCTATGCCTTAATTGCGGATTCTCTTCAAACTCAATTCACACCACATAATGAAGGAATTTTTGCGAACAGCGCAAATTCTTTCCCACAAGATGTTGAACGCTTCCTCTCCTCACCCTTCGCGAGAGAAATACAATATACATCCATGAGTGAGGTAAATGATTACATTACCAAGCTCAAACCCAAAAAAGCCCCTGGTATGGACTCTATTTCTAATCGTATGATTAAAAATTTACCCACCAATTATCTATTTTTCTTAGTAATGCTTATAAATTTCATGATTCAGCATTGCTATTTTCCTCAAAGCTGGAAACAAGCACTTATTGTGCCTATTCCAAAACCAGGCCAAAGCCATTCTAATCCTCAAAATTATAGACCTATCAGCCTCCTATCATCGTTATCTAAGATATACGAATTTGTGTTACTTAAACGCCTGAATGATTTTCTCCGAAATCACAAGCGTTCTGATTGATGAACAATTTGGATTTCGAGAGCAAAACACTGCACTACGCACCAGCTGCTGAGGACAGTGGAGTTCATTCACGAAGGGTTTCGTAACAAAATGCTTACTGGCGCTTTATTTCTTGACATAGCCAAAGCATTTGATAGGACTTGGCATATAGGAATTATTATCAAGCTCATACGACTTGACGTTTCGGCCCATTTAATTCATATAATTAATTCGTACCTTACTAATAGATCTTTTTCTGTACGAGTTAATTCTTCCATTTCGACACCCCGTCCTATACTAAGCGGCGTCCCCCAAGGGTCACTTTTAGGCCCAATTTTGTTCAACATTTTTATAAATGACATACCAAAATCACCTAGTATCACTCTTGCACTTTATGCAGATGATACGGCCATCCTTGCCCAACACAAACGCCTTGAAAACTTGGTCCAAACAATTCAGAGTTACCTCTCTAGCCTTGAGTACTGGCTCATCACTTGGAAAATAAAAATTAATGTTGCTAAATGTGCTGCTATGATCTTCAAACGTAGCCCCCTCCCGTACCCTTCCATTAACATTAAATTCTTTGATGACTATGTTCCCTGGTCAAACTCTTACAAGTACCTAGGAGTTGTACTTGATTCAAAATTACTCTGGCGCCTTCACATTGAAAATGTTCTCAACAAAGCGAAAGGTGCTAGAGCCCAACTTTACCCCTTTTTAGCTCGAAAGAGCCATCTGTCAATTAAAAACAAAATTCTTCTCTATACATCAATTATAAGACCTGTCTTTATGTATGCATGTACAATCTGGGGTACTGCTGCAAAA